ATTTCCTTTTCTGTTAGTTTGTCTTTTTTTTTTTTTTTTTTTTTTTTTAGAACTGCATTAAAATGAATGGTTGTAACGTGATAAAATGTGAAAAACTAAAGTGGCGTGTGTACTATAGGTTGACGGCACGTGTCTCTTTTGTCATTTCCACTTTCAGGAAGGCGATGTGGTGGCCCTGTTCATGGAGAACAGATCCCAGTATGTGGGCCTCTGGCTGGGAATGGCTAAAATCGGAGTTGAAGCTGCTCTCATCAACTTCAACTTGAGACTAGATGCCCTGGTCCACTGTGTTACCATCTCCAATGCCAAGGCTGTGGTGTTTGGTTCAGAGCTTTCTGATGGTAAGATAAAGGGAAGAGCTCATGTTCTACAGCCACCCTATGCCTCCTGCGTGCACAGTACTGACTTATGCTGATGGGTGCTGTTCTCCTTCCTTTGTAATGAGAGAGGCAAGTGCAGGGAGAAAGCAGCTGAGGTCATAAAAGATACATGGTTATTTGAGTAGGTGTCTCCTCAGTATCAGTCAGTGGAGCTGTCTTTATAGCCAATGTGTGGCATTCAAGGTCTGACAAGACTACCACCTGATAAGTGATAATCAGCCACTGATGAAGGTGGCAAAAATGTGTAGAACAATGTTCAACTCTTACAGATTTATGACCTAGAGCTCAGAAATATTCGACATTCTCTTTTTGATGATTCAACTTTTTTCAAAATCGGTTGCATGTCTTCAATCCAAGCTTATGTGCACACATGCAGCACATTATGCATTTAAATGTGACTTTGTCCTACCAGTTTAAAACGGCTAAAAAGTAAAAAATCACTCAGCAGAAGCATTGCCTGACTCACTCGGTAGATAAATGAGTCATTAAAAGGTCATGTGCGTGGAATTAAAATTGCATTAATTATCTCTTGTCTACTAATGAACAACGTCTTAATAGACTAACCTTCTCTTGCATATTACATGAACATGCAATGTAACATTCATTTGGGATCTGTTTTACTCCTGGATCTATGCTCCATCAGGGGAAAAAAAAAAATCCTTGACCTCATCATCTATTAAGAGAGTGGAAGTGTACATTCGGAGATTGATGAAGCTCTCTCTGTATTGGTTCTTCAGCCTGTGATGTGCTTAATGCCTTTAAGTAATTGGAACTGCAGCCTTTTTGTGGTGCAGCCAAACATCATGCTTACAGCATCAGCACTGAGCCAGAAGGACATAAAGCTTCACTTACACACCGTTTCTGTTTATACAGTATGAAAAAAACCATTGAGACGTTTCAGTTTCACACTCATTGTCACGGTACTTTCTCCTGTTTTGTTTTTTGTTTTTGGTTGAGTTGCTCTGGGCTTATTTTTTAACCTTCTTTGACCTTATATCATGTGTTCTCCCTGCACCATTGTTTAAATTATGCTAATTATCCCACAACATTTCAGGGCTCTTCTTTTTTTTTTCTCTCTCTTTTTTTTACAGCGGTGTCAGAGGTCCACAGTTCGATGAGGAAGGCGGTTCTGATGTTTTGCTCCGGAGACTGGGACCCCAAGCGAGTACCGCAGGGAACAGAGCACCTGGAGCCCCTGCTGGCTGGCGCCTCGTCTCGCCTGCCTCAACGGCCCGATCGCTGCTTCACAGGTGAACACGCGATGTCAGGCCGGATTTGACTTCCCCTACGACAAAGTTCATACAAACTGCCTTTTGTTACATTGTTGGGAGTTGTTTCAATAATTCACTTTGTTCAGATGTAGCTTATGTTTCTGGTTCCAAACATTTCAGCATGATAAGATACAAGTTTATCATACAAACTTTTATTTTTGGAAAACATTGCAGCACTGTTGCTTGTATGCAAACGAGAGGTAGACAAAATAGTGATCTGCCAGTAGTTGGAGGTATTGGATGTAAATGACTTTATTTCAGCAAACATATACTTATGGAGCTTGAGGTGGCATGACAGACATGTTAGCCAACCTGTGGCTGTCCAGAGTGGGACCCGCAAAGATCACAAAATGCATGCACACATAGTATCGCCCAAGAGAGAAATGCAGTGTTGGATTTCTGGCACATGTAGCGTTCATCAGTTTTGGATTTATCTGACTAGAGCCGAGTGAGAAAGTAAAAAAAAAATATATATAAAAATTGTGGTGTACTTTTGTTTCCATCTCCCTGGCACTCTGCAGCCAAAAAATATTGAATGTAGTGAATCTAATTGCTTTCAGAAGCCACTGAATGAATAAATAACCCATTTGTGTATAAATGTATCTATGCAAGGGTACGGATACTATTGCAAAGCTTTATATAAACATTACATTTAAAAAAGAAACTGCTCTCTATCTGCTTATTCTGGTTCTCACATAAAGCACCTGACACACAAAAATTTCTGTCTACCAAACAATTCAAGAGAGGATGTAACGTTTCCACCTGACCTTTACTCACACAGAGCCACAACAATTATTCACTCTGACTTTGTTTCACATCTATACAAGTCTTTTTGAAATTATTCTGCTATGTTTTTTTTTTTCAATCCGTGTGAGTTTAAGATTTCAGGTTATAAGATCAGACAGTGCTGATAGGGCTTACTATGATACACTGCTCAATTCCATCTGTGCTCTGATCAAGAGTGAGAAAGTGAGTAACTCCTTCTAGAAAAGGTTCAACACTCAGGTAGAACACACCGTGTTTGCATATATATGCAGAAGTTGAAATTTAGCAGAAGAAACATTCTTAGACATTTATTGCATTTGCACAATATCAACCTGATATCATCTTCTGTTTCTGTGTTTTCTGTTTTAGATCGGCTGTTTTATATCTACACATCAGGGACCACAGGGATGCCTAAAGCTGCCATTGTTGTGCACAGCAGGTAGGAAGCAGGCATTTGGCCAACAAACGAACACACAGGAACTGCAGCTGTTCTTTTTAGATCCATGTTGTGTATAGTTCAAATAATCTTAGCACAGAAGGAGACGGAGATAAAGTAAATCTCGCTGCGTTTGATTTGACTGATTTGACTCGTATCTAACTCCGTTCTTGTTTTCAGATACTACCGCATGGCTGCTTTGGTATATTACGGCTTTAGGATGACACCAGACGATGTCCTCTACGACTGTCTCCCGCTCTATCACTCTGCAGGTATGTTTGCTTAAGTTTACTACTTTTACTTCCCTTTTGGCTCAATTTCCTACCGTACAAAAGCGATTTAAACAAACTGTAAAAACAAAAACGTGTGCTCGAGCCAGTTTCTCACACTAAGGCTAATGGAAAGAAGGATTTACAAGTAGACTTTCACTCCGCCTCAAATGCAAATCAAACTAGATGAGGGAGAGGCTGCAGTCGTTGGCTGTGGGTTGGGTTACGGTTGTAGAAACGTCACATAGATAGATAGATAGATAGATAGATAGATAGCATTTATTGTCACTGAACAGAATTCAACGAAATTTCCATTGAAGCTACCGTGCAAAAGGTCAAATATATACAGTATAAATAAGCAAACACACAATAATAATAATAACAATATATACAACTAAATTAACTAAAGGCACTCAACCATGCCAAAGAAGTAGCAGCAAGTCCAATTATGGCAAAGTACAGATAATGTGACAGTGCAAAGTGCAGAACAATATGGCTGTGTTGGGGGGGGGGAAGGGGGGGGGGGAATATGTATGTGTGACTGCGAGGTTATGATATGTGTGGGAGGGGGGGACGGCAGGGAGTAATGGCTCTGACGGCTGTGGGGAAGAAACTGTTTCTCAGTCTATTTGTTGTAGTCCGTATATTCCTGTACCTCTTGCCTGATGGCAGCGGCACAAACAATCTGTGACCCGGGTGGCTGGAATCCATCGCTATGGATCCAGCTCTCTTCTTGACCCGGTCTGTGTAAATGGAGTCCAGGTCTGGGAGGGGGCATCCCACAATGCCATCCATGTTGGTTTGAGTCCTTGTGCAAACAAAGGCAAATTAGTTTGGCCTACCTACTGCACTTCCTCTGAAGAGCCTTGGCATCATGTTGATCTCAACACAATGTGTGTTTCAAATGTCCGAGAAGGAAAGACAGAATTAAACTGATTTTATTGTTCATTTCAGCTGCATCTGCAATTTCAGCTTTTCCATTTTTTGATGACCTCGTACAAAAAGAGTGACGGTGTGATTCTTCATATTCTTCTTTCTCAGGGAACATTGTGGGAGTGGGACAGTGCCTAATACACGGAATGACTGTGGTCATCAGAAAGAAGTTCTCTGCGTCCCGTTTCTGGGACGACTGTGTCAAATATAACTGCACCGTAAGACTAATTTCATTTACACGAGTCACTCTGTTGCGTCTTGAAAATATTCCTCAAAACATTTGAACAGCCTGTTGTCAACCTAATTGAATTGCTATTAATCATTGGAATCGTTTCTGTTCCCATTTCCATATTCAACATCTAGATCGTGCAGTACATCGGAGAGATTTGTCGATACCTACTAAACCAACCAGTTCGAGATTCTGAACGTCAGCATCGGGTGCGCATGGCTCTGGGGAACGGCCTGCGCCAGTCCATATGGGAGGAGTTCATGAAACGCTACAATATCCCGCAGATTGCAGAGTTTTACGGAGCCACAGAGTGCAACTGCAGCTTGGGCAACTTTGGAAACAAGGTGGGAACACAACCTGCTAAGAAGCAGTGAGAATTCTTTAGGGAAAATACTTTATTTTATTGTGATGTCACAAACATAAAATAGAGATCGCACGGACTCTGAAATATGTACAAGGGGAATGAAATGTGCAAAACCAAAATTGATTTGTAAAACAGTGTAGTTAAATACTCCGTTAAGAAAGCAGCACATCAGTTGTTGCAGATTCCTTGTGTCTGCAGCATTGTCAGGCCACCTTTGCACCAGGTTAAAGAACAGCCTTGGACCTCTGTAATCTTTTGAACGTTGCTGAATCGCAGCAAATTTGACAAACCTGACTTCAGTGTGAAGGCAAAGATAAGGCTGCTATGCTCTTTGTACTCCTTTTCTTTCCAGGCTGTCTTAACCCCAGTGCTACCACCACAAAGAATCCTGTCTACACAAGCATGTTTCCTCACAGCATGCAGAGTTGTGGTATTAATAAATACAGAGGTTTCATCACATGCACCGTAGGTTTTAGCTTTGTTGTGGTGGAGAAAAAAAAAATCTGCATGTTTATCAGCTTAGCAGCCACATGTGGGTCTTTTATTGGTATTGTAAAGCCAATCAGGTCTGGCTGAGTCTGTGCACAATGTGAAGATCTGGACTATTCCAAAGCTTGGAGTCATACTACAACTGGGTGCCAAGGCCTGAGTGTGACTTGGTGTTTATCTGCATGATGGGCCTGGATTGTTAATTGCACCTGCTTAATAACAGTGTCAGCATGATTAGTTTGGAGCCTTGGCCAGGCTGTATGGCCGGTCTATCTTCAGATTCTCAGATGACTAAGCCGCACAGCTGCTCACTAGAGAATCCACATGAAGTGGAAACGCTGCTATCACTGCCGCCACATTCCTTCCTCCCTTCCTCCCAGATCCACATACACTGCAAAAATGAACCAGCCTGGCCTTTTTCTAACTTCTTTGTTTGCCGTCTAGGTTGGCGCATGTGGCTTTAACAGCCAGATTCTGCCCTTCATCTATCCCATCAGGCTGGTGAGGGTTGATGAGGAGACCATGGAGCTCATACGAGGACCTGATGGTGTCTGCATTCCTTGTAAACCTGGTGGGTTTTTACTTTCGTGAGTCATACATTAAAAATTGCTGTGTTTTTTTGTTGTTGTTGTTGTTTTAAGAAACTGTCGACAGAGATGTGGCTGCTTATATATTCACATACAAAATAGTTAATAATGAAAACTGGATTATTGATGAAAATATGAACTTAAATAATTAATCAAATGAATCGATTGCTAATATAACTGTCAACTAACTTAATGATTGATTTTATTGGTAACTAGAGTACACAAACTCTAAAAAAGGTATTTTGCTGAAAGAACAACACACAGCAGGATTAAAAGGATTTGAATTATTTCTCTTGTACTTTTAAGTACTTTTTTATTAAAAATTTGCAAACTATGCCAGTTTTTTTTTTTTTTTTATATCTGATTAATCGTTAGCATAATCAATTTCCACAATAATTGTTAGTTGTAGTCCTATGCATAACAATGTTTTGGAAGTTCACTTCTTCTTCTTCTTCTTCACACATGAACAGTTTCTAACTATAATATAGCAAAATCCTGAAATTATGAACAAATATTTACCAAAAATGCCAGCAAATGTGAAGTAATCTGGTTCTTCTCTTGCTCAAGGCGAGCCTGGCCAGCTAGTTGGGAAGATCATTCAGAACGATCCCCTCCGAAGGTTTGATGGCTACGTTAACGAAACGGCAACGAGCAAGAAGATCGCTAGCAGTGTCTTCAAGAGGGGCGATAGCGCCTATCTTTCTGGTTAGAATCCTCCTCCAGCACATGTTATTGTATTATAATGTTTGAAGTACCTCATCTGAACAAACGGTTATTAAATCCTCCAAACAGGCGACGTTCTGATCATGGATAAGTACGGCCACATGTACTTCAAGGACCGAACAGGAGACACTTTCCGGTGGAAAGGAGAGAACGTCTCAACGACCGAAGTGGAAGGAACCTTAAGCAGGCTGCTAGAGATGAAAGATGTGGTTGTTTATGGAGTAGAAATCCCAGGTAAACCTTTTCGCTTAGCTTGTGTTCATGCTGTATGTTTCCGACATTACATGGTAAGGGCTTAAGAAAATGTCTAACATGTCTCTAAATTTGTTAGTTGTCCCAAAATGAAATGAGTTCAAAGTCCCACAAACGTGAATGTATTTTATTGAGATTGTATGGGCTCCAGTGGTGGGAAGTAACGAAGTACAAGTACTTCGTTACTGTACTTAAGTACA